TCGACATAATGTATCGGGAAATTTTTTGTAGTTTTTTAATGAGTCCTGGGTGCCAGCCAGACTTTATAAAATACCTGAGCGACGTCAGGAAATGTAGCAGGCATAAAAATTGCACCTCTTATGTTTTCTCGATGAAGTCAGTTAGTGTATATTTGGAACTTGAGTGTCTATTTTTAGAACTAAACTGATGTAAAGGAATTAGATTTTTGCTTTCTATTATTGGTTTTAATCTTCTTAGGAGTAGTTTTTAAAATTTGAAATTTTTGGCAGGAGTTATATTGGCATATAGGAAAAAAATTAGGGGGTTTTCCTATTTTTGATATCATAATAGTTAGATTCATTTTCCAAGCATCTGACAGAAGTCGAAATGAGGCGTCAATAATATGCGTCAATTTGACTATACCTATTTTTGGTAGTTTTTTTAAATATTTTGTTAGATGAGATCGTATACACGAGCGTTTTTAAAACTAACATTTGTCTGTATTTCTTCTGCAACTGCCTTAGGAGTTACCAATTTGATTTATGTTTATTCTGGATTTTGGTGGACCTCGTCATGTATGATTTCATTTTCTTCTAGTTGAAACTTTTTTTTAAATGGAAAGTAAAAGTCTTCATCTCACATTTATTACCTCTCGCCCGTCTCTTGTCCAGTGCTCTAAGAAGGACAGTGGGCATGTTCTTTTTTTTTAACTTTTTCACGCCGAATATTCAGTTTCTTTGTCATTCGATAGTTCTTACGAGAATTTATCAAGAGACTCTTTTTTTTATATTTGCATTTCTCGGCGTAGCCTTTGTATGGCTCTATTTAGTTTTTTAGTTTTATCGTCAGGTGCTCTTGTAGTTTTCCACCTTTTCCACAATCTTCTTATTTTTGCGACTATTTCTCCGGTTTCTATAAAATAATTTCTATCAGCCATTATTATTTTTATTGTGGGTGTATGTATCTATGCTGCTTGTTGGATGTCATATATAATAATTATAGGAAAGTCGGGAATTATGAAATATATCCGGTAATATAAAATACCATATTTTCTTCAAAACTACTTGTACCATCTATGCTCAGTTGCTATTAATGTCATTCCAATTAGTTAAAAGTTCACCCACAAGAGTGTTTAGTTTATTACCATTGCCATTGAGCGTTTGGTTGTTATGACAGTTGATGTGATTTCGGTGCATATATTATTTTTAGGCAAGTACATTAAAGTTTTATTTCAAACACTTTTTAAGGTGATTTCACTTGATATTATGGTTTAATTAAGTAGATGAATAATGTAGGTAAACCTTAAGGTATAGATACCGCCCATTTTAAATACATTTTTTTTTTTTGGTCTAACCTTAAAATTAATATAGACGGCAATTATAAAATAGATTCCATTTTTTTTTCTTCCTATGCCGTCACTATTAACGGAGGTTGCCAACCACAGTTCTAAAAGTTTCTCCGTCTTTTGCTACGTGAAACAATTCTTCTACAGTCATGTTTGTTCAGTCTCGAATATTTCGCAGCCACGACTTTCCTTTTCTACCTATTCCCTTTTTGCCATCGACTCTACCCTGCATGATGACCTGCAGAAGACTATATTTATCAGTCCTTAGTATGTGTCCAAGATAATATGCAGTCTTGCGTACTTTTATTGTTCTCAACCATTTTTTGTCTCGACCCATCCTTTTCAGCACTTCATTGGTAATCTTGGCAGTCCATGGAAATCTCAATATTCTCCAGTATATCCAAAGTTCAAAGGCTTCAACATTCTTAACTATTTGCACTTTTAACGTTCATGTTTCTACCCTGTACAATAGTTGGGACCAGGCGCAATATTCAACAAACCTCAGTCTCAGCACAGTATTCAGATTTTTCTTACAGAACAATTGCTTGAATGTTAAAAACTCTGCCCTTGCCATTTCTATTCGTACCCTGATCTCTTGGTCTGGATCTAATTCTGTGTTGATGTAAGAACCCAGATATTTATATTTTGTCACTCTCTCTGTTTGCTGTCCACCAAGGGTTAGTTGTTCATTATTTATTGGACTCCTTGATACTATCATCACCATCATCAATGGCGCTACCACTCTTAGTGAGTCTGATGCAGTCAAAGAAGATCTAGAGTCTTCTAGAAGATCTAGAAGACTCTATATCTTCTTTGACTGCATCTTTCCACCTTTTTCTAGGCTGCCCCTCATGCCCTGCTTATCTGAGTATATTTGCCTTTATATATCTGACTAGATTTTCTTTTCCGAATAGAGACTCTAGCTCGTTATTATATCTGCCCCTCCATTCGTTTGTCACGCTGTCTCTGCAAGGGCCATATATCATTCGAAGAATTTTACGTTCCCACACAAGCAATTTATTTACTTCTCTTTTTGTTAGCGTCCATGTTTCGTTTCCATACGCGACTGCTGGTCGTATTATGGTCTTATATATCCGGATTTTTGTATCTCGTGAAAGAAGTTTTGACTTCATTAGATGTTGCATTGCAAAGAAAGATCTGTTTCCTACCATTATTCTCGTTTCAACTTCTCGCTCTAATTTGTTGTCATTTGTGATTGTTGCTCCTAGATACTATCATAAATTTGATTTTATCTGTGTTGAATCTTTGTTGAAGTTGATATCTGTGTTGAAGTTTGTAGTTCTTCTATACTCTCAGCCATAATTACCGTGTCATCTGCAAATCTCATGGTGTTTACGATTTCTCCACCAATTCTTACTCCCTCTTTACTTTCCCATGAGGCTTTTCTGAATATGACCTGTAAGTACACGTTGAAAAACGTCGAAGACAAGACGCATCCTTGCCTGACCCCTCTTGCAATCGGTATATTATTGGTTTCTACATCGTTCACCTTTACTACTGCTTTCTGATTCCAGTATATAGTCTTAATAAACTCAATGTCTGTTTTGTCTAAATTGATGTTTTTTAATTCATCTATTAATTTCATATGCTGCGCTCTGTCAAAGGCCTTCCTAAAGTCTATGTAGCATACATATACACTCTAGTTATATTTTCAACATTTCTGCAAGAGTACCGTCAACGCAAATAATGCCTCTCTTGTACATATGCCTCCTTTGAAGCCAAACTGTGTTTGATCTATCTGCTTCTCACATTTCTTGTAAATTTCGGGTTTGAACAATTTCCAAGAGAATCTTTAAAAGGTGGCACATTAGGCTTATCAATCTATAGTCATTACATGATTTGGGATTGTTGTTTTTTGGTAGAGGTAAGAGTGTTGTTTTTTCGGGTGAGTTTATTTATATTACCGTCATCTAAGGCTTTTAATAGTTCAACTGGAATTTTATCAGGACCCGGTGCTTTTCCTTGTTTTGTATTCTGTAGGGCATGCTTTACTTTTGAGGGTAAAATTTGTAGGTATTGTTCTTCTTCACGTATATCTTGTTCATTTTCCCTCTCGTCACGGAAAAGATGGATTATGTATTGTTGCCATACTTCCTTTATTTTGCTCTCTTCAGTGAGTATTCCTCCAATATTATCTCTTGTTATCAGTGTTCCTCTTTGTCTGGTGTAGCCTGTAAGTTCTTTAATTTTTTATGTAAGTTTGAGGTGTCATGTTTGTTGCTGAGTTCTTCCAGTTCCTGGCATTCCTAGGTCAACCATTTCTTCTTAGTCTTTCCGATTTTATATTTGATTTTATTCTTGATGGTTTTATTTATTTTATTTCCATTTTTATTTTGTATTTACTTCTTTCAGTTATTAGCTCAACTATTTTCGGTGTTATCAAGTCTTTTTTAGTGGTTTTCTCTTCTTCGCCTAGGGCCTCTTTTCCCGCTTTTAGTATGGCTTTTTTTATATCTGCCCATTTCACGCTTTCTTCAGTTAATTTATTTATCTCTGCGTTTAGTTGTTGTTGGCAGTTGCCGTCTTTTAGGTTTTTGGTGTTTATTTTGGTGGTTTTAACTTTTTTCTCCGGTTTTCTGAGTTTATTGTTGACATTAGCTAGTAATAGATTATGGTACGTATCTGCATCTGCGCTTGGATAGGTTTTTGCACTTTGTACTCCATTATGAAACCTTTTGTTTGGTAATTCCATATTACCCGACAAAAAATTTAAATTTTCAAAGAAATTTCTATGTCTGAAATGCCTCGAATGATTAACAAAATAAAGAATAATGCCACAACCACATCGTCACAACTAAAGAAGTGGAATGTGGAATATATAAAAAAAGTGGTGATAGCAGTAAGAAGCAAAAGAATATTCGAAGGCATTCAAAATATTTAACGTGGCTCTTGCCACTCATTTTAGGCTTTGTAAAAAATGTGCAATTGCGGGTGAGGTATGCCAAGCAGAACTAGGGAAAAAAACCTATTTGGCCAGATTATCTTGTAAAGAGATTTTACGAGTTTTTAGCCATATATTAATTGGTTTAACTCATGTATACCTGGTAATAATATACTGTTAATGGACTTTTTAGTGCGAAAACGTTTTGTAATGTAGCCCTAGAAGGTGATTAGAGTGCCAGATTTTAAATTATATCTCACTAACAATTTATAGACTGATGACAAAAAAAGTCCGGATATTATATAATACTCCAACAAATGTTACTAAATTGTGACTCAATTGTTTACTCCAAAAATGTTTATCAAAGCATTAGTCTATAATATGATAACTTAAAAAATAAAGTATTAAATTAAGTTTCACCAAGACCAGCATATAAGGTTTACTAAAATATTCTCTAGATTTTTTTCTCTAAAATTCTAGGAATAACAAGTTCTGGACTAGTTCTGGACATAGAGTGAATGAACTCAGAAAATATATTTAGATCAATTCCAGGTAACTATCAGAGAACGATACTTTCACTTAGCCCTATTTCTTACAAACATTTCATTATTCGTCTGTTTATATTTCGGAAAGAAAGTAAAAATCAATGAGTAAATAAAAATTAAAAACAAATCTTTAGTTATAACCTAGCCATTTTCTTCATCGTGTATTTTCAATTTCCTTCTTTTGTTTTTTAAATTGTTTTAATTAGTTCATCTTTCTATTTGTTTCAGAAGCCAACGAGACGATACAGTAACATCGGCGGCGATTCCGGCCGTCGTACCGAGAGGAAACAAAAACGCCATCATGAATAGCATAGCGGACTCGTATCTGGCACATAAGGATAAGAAGCACAAGAAATACCACAAAGTTAAGAAAAGTTACCCGAAGAAATTCCGTAAGTTTCGCAACCTTTTATTTATCTACAATTGCGGTAAATGAGTTTCATTTTGTTGTTTTCCGTCGAGATAACAAAGGATGTTATGTCAGATGGCTCTAAGCGGGATTTTCTTGTTTCACGAATGACAATAATGAACATGGAAGGAGACGCTTTGGTCCGGGAAGGAAAATGTGCAATGTTTTTTGTTTAAAGCTTTGGGAATATTTTAATTATACATGAATTTGACATCGCAACAACTATTTTACTTGCAGCTTTCTTTGATACCAAAAGATAAAAATAAATGATTGTCTTTAAAGACAATTTGAAACATAATAGATTCTTAGCCACAATACAAGAACTTTCTTATGTAGAATAAGACAAGTTGTCAGACAGGCAAAGGAATGGCAAATTACAATCATTTTACGACATTTTGGACACTTGATTAGAAACACATTAATTTAGCAATATAGTAAACTTTTAATTATGTTTAAATTTAGTTGTAGAGTTTTAATCTAGAAAATTATTGAGACGATTAGGCGTTTCTAGGCTTTTGTTTTATCTTTTTAAGATGTTCCTCTTCTTAAGGTGCCTTATCCATTACTGAAGGTTGGCTATAACTACAGCAAATTGCTCTCTATCTTGAGCTGTTCTTAGTATCGAATGTGTGTTCATACCTGTCCAGTCTCTTACACTCTTCAACCAGGAGCATTTTCTTCTTCCTGGATCTCTTCTTCCTTCCACTTTCCCTTCCATTATAAGTCGTAGGAGTTGTATTCTTCTCCTCTGTAAATATGTCCTAGATAACTCATTTTTCTGTTTTTTACAATATTTAGGAGTTCTCTCTCAGCACCCATTCTTGTTAGAACCTCTTTGTTGGTCACGTGTCGGTCCAAGAGATCTTTAGCATCCTTCGAAAAACCCACATCTCAAAGGCTTCTAACTACATAAGATGTTTCTAACTATATAAAATCAAAATTAATGTATACGGTTGAACTACGAGTATTATTGAACTGGAGATTTTAGTAAAGGTACAATATATAGGGTGTTTTATTAAAAAAACCAAAGTGACTTACGATATCAGACAAATGGAAAATTTGGCAACATTGCAAGAATAAAATTTGAAATCTATATTATGCAGAATAATTGTATTCTGTATCTAATAAGAGTTTAAGCGATAATTGGGCGTTTCCAGACTGTTAGTTCAGCAAAGGACTAAAGTTAAAAAAATATAATGAAATGTCTCGCAAACAGAAAATACTACGCTTCTCAAAACAGAAGGGAGACAAATTGAGTCTGGAAAATTACAAATACAATAATTTATTATAGACAACACTTAATGATATTAACAACCAAAGTAATAAATAAATTGGGTGAAATTAGAACACTAGCAGAAGAACAACAGGGTTTTCCTTCTTCTAGCATGCATTGCCGCTATATTTATGCTAAGGCAAGTGCAAGAAAAATCATTAGAATACAATAAACCGGCATATCTGTATTTCGTAAACCTTAAGAATGCATTTGATTGGGTCAAATTCAAGGAATTTATTACTTATTTACTTACTTATCCACTTATTTTACTCAAAAAAACTACCTCTAGGAATAATCAAAACGGTTGAAAATATCTTCCACAAAACAATAAAAGTAAAAGTAGAAGAAGAATTAACTGACTCCATTGAAACATGCAATGTTATGGGGCAGAAAAATTTCCTGAGTACTCTATTGTTCAACCTGATTATTTATGAAATGATAAAAAAAATAAGAACTAAAAAAGGATATCAAATGGTAGCAAACCAGCGTAAAATATTCTGCTATGCAGACGACGCAATCCTACTCTCTCAAAGTGAAGATAATTTACGACGTATGCTGCACCAATTTAATATACCCGTCAGAAAGTTTAACATGGTAATTTCCCCAAAAAACAACAGAATGAATGGTTATAACAGCAAAAGATAAGTGGAAGATCAAGTAAATAAAGCAAACAGAGCCGCAGGTTGCCTGAATAAAACCATATAAATATCGGAAAAAAATAAAAGGGAGAATTTACAAAAAAATCATCAGGCCAATAATGACATATACGGCAGAAACACGGCCTGACACAGAGAGAAGAACAGGATGTTAGAAACAACAGAGATGTAAACGCTTGATAGTAAAACACTATGAAACAGAGATAGAAGTACAGATGTACGACGTAGATGTGGAGAACATTAAGAACTAGGTAAGCTAAACTGAAATGGAAATGGGCTGGACATAACGAAAGTCTTACGGATGGCCGATGAAATAAAGAAATCGGAAATTAACGTATATATAAAGTCAAAAGACCAAGAGAAAGACCGCAAATGCGATGGAGCGACGATATTAAAATAATTGCAGGGCCAATGTGGAAACGGATTAAAAACAACAAGGATGAATGGCGAGAATTAGGAGAGGCCTATATTCGGAAATCCGAAATAGAGAAAAGGGCTTAAAAAAAGATATAGAAGAGTAGAATGGAACGATCATATAAGCCAAATGGCAATAATAGAGTAATAAAGACGGTAAGAGACGGTTTTCCAATGGAAGGCGTTTAGTAGGAAGACCACGTATACGATGATACGACAACTTACTGAAGGCACATTGAGAAACGGACAGAGTCATGTCTACATAAAAAGAAGAAGAAGAAAAACGGTTAAGTGTCGATCAAGCCTCCTCCTTTATTCAGGCTTGACAAACAAGGGTTATGCTGGGCTTATCGTCTACCATGCTCAAACCTAAGACGGAGTTACGAATATTGTAAAGAATAAAAATAAATCACCAAAGGAACCAATAATACTTAACTCGGAGTAAACACTCGTGTTAAACATCTAAAACAAATTGCAAACCCATGCCATGTTCTTACTAGATCTCATAATAAAGGGTGTTTTTTTACAGGTATAGAAATGTAAGTTGGTATCACTTTTTTACCTGTCGTCCATTTTGACAGCTGTCAAGTGATTCATGTTAAGTTGGGTTTGGTATTTCAACATGAATAGACTTGACGCCTGAAAAACGCTTCCAAATTGTACAAATTCATTTTGAAAATGGTGTTTCTGTTCGAAATACATATCGCGCTCTACGTCCATTTTATGGCCAAGATAATAGTCCATCAGAGCAAGTAATTCGATTATCTATGGAACATTTTTACACCACGTTTACTCTAACTGATAATATGAATCCACAGACACGTCGCACAGTTCGAAGAAGTTGTTGCTGCTAAAGCGTAGCATACAGGAAGACCCGAATCAGTCTATCTGCCATCGTGCACAACAGTTGGATACGTTTCCATCCACTTTATGAAAGATTTTGCAGAATATCTTTGTGCGCTTATAAAGTCCAACTCGTGTAAAAATTGAAGCTACATCATCACCTAGCAATGCGTTGAGTCGATGAGATTGCCGTTCATTCGGATTTTCATAATTTTTGTATTTTGCGCATTTTATTTAGCGATAAAGCTAACTTTTGCTCGAATAAGTTTGTTAACAAACAAAGCTGCCCTATTTGGATTTAAAATAATCCTCAAATGTATGTTGAGAAACCATTACATCGAGAAATGCTGATTATTTGGTATGCTTTATGGTTTGGTGGAACCATTGGAGCGTACTTTTTTAAAAAACATGCTGACCAGAACGTTGCAGTCAATGGTGACCGCTATAAAGCAATTACTGCTTTTTTCATTCCCAATTAAACAACCGTCATATACCGGAGCTGTCATTTCAATAAGACGGCGTAACATGTCACACAGCTCGTGTCACAATTGATTTATTAAAGAATCCGGTAACGCTTCTTCTTCTTCATGTACCATGTCCTTTCAGAACGTTGGTTACCATCATAGCTAGTTTAATTTTATTCACTGCCACCCTAAATAGCATACTTGTATCTACACCATACCAATCTCGCAAGTTCTTCAACCATGAGGTTCTTCTTCGTCCTGGACTGCGTTTGCCTGCTATTTTTGCTTGCATGATATTTTGTAGCAATCTATATTTGGGACCTCTCATTACATGTCCGAAATATTCCAGCTTTCTCTGCTTGATGCTTTTTATGATCTCAGTAGTCTTGCTGAGACGTTCTAGTACTGTGGAGTTACGAATCTTCTCCACCCAGGAAACTTTTAAAATTCTTCTATAGCACCACATTTCGAAAGCCTCAAGGCGATTTAGATCAATTTTATTCACAGTCCAGGACTCGACAGCATAAAGTAAGACCGAGAACACGTAGCAGCGAAGTAGGCGGATCCTTAATGCCAGTTTTTAGGTCTCTGTTACATAACACCTTGGACATCCTTCTAAAAGCAGCTCTAGCCTGCTCTATTCTGGATCTAATTTCGCCGTGATTTTCTGCATTACAATTTAATTGCTGTCCAAGGTAGACGATTTTATCAACTTGCTCAAGTTTGGTATTATTTAAATATATAGACGGTTTTATATTCTGTTGTTTACTTATTACGAGTATTTTGGTTTTCCTTATGTAAAGATCCAGACCTGCCACCCTACAACTCTCAACGACACTATCAAGTAGTGTTTGCAGATCTTCTTGACTAGAAGCTAGGAGTACTGTATCGTCCGCATATCGCAAATTATTGATGACTTCGCCGTTCACAAGTATTCCTTCTTGTTTTTCAGAAAGTGCTTTTCGGAAAATTCTTTCGGAGTAAACGTTAAAAAGCAGGGGTGACAAGAGGCATCCCTGCCGTACTCCTCTTTTAATATTGAGAGCTTGGGAGTCCACACCATCTACTAAAACTGATGTTGTTTGATTCCAATATAAATTTGCAATTATTCGAACATCTCTGCCGTCCAAGCCAATGTCTTTTAGAGCTTCGATCAATATAGAGTGCTTAACACGATCAAATGCCTTTTGAGTCAATAAAGCAACAGTATACGTCTACAGATATATCACGACATCTTTGAGTAAGTACGTTCATTCCAAACAGTGCCTCTCTCGTTCCAAATCCGTTACGGAAACCAAACTGAGTGTCATCCAGGTATTCCTCACATTTATTGTAGATTCGACCACGTATTATTTTTAGAAAAATTTTCAATAAGTGGTTTTACAAACTGATGGTTCTATAATCAGCACAGGTTTTTGCTGTTGTCTTCTTAGGTAAAGCTATAAACAGTGAGTTAGACCAACCATTAGGTAGTTGTCCGCTGGTATAAATGGTATTGAAAAACGAAGTTATAGCCTCTAAAACATTGCTATTCTTTATAAGCTTATATATTTCAGTTGGAATTTCATCAGGACCAGTCGCTCTGCCATCTTTTGATGATTGTATGGCCTTTATAACCTCACAGCGTGTTATTAGGGGTCCGTCGCAGTTAGTAATATCGGGAGGTAAACTACTCCTATCGTCTTCGAATAGGTTCGTGACGTAATTTTCCCATTCTTTAAGTTTGTCCTCTACTTCGAATATTACTTTACCATTTTCATCCTGTAGTAATGCATTTTGTTTCTTATTAAAGATACCAGCCGCTTCTTTTACTTTTTTATATATGTTAAACGTGTCGTATCTTTTTTCGAGTTCTTCAATGTCATGACACTGTTTGGCTAGATGTTGACTCGCAACATCTAGCCAAACAGTAGGTAACGTTTGGTAACCGCATATTTTCACGTTTCGGACCGTGAATTGGCCTCCAAGATCGTACGATTTAACACTGCTAGACTATTTTATGTGGGGATATGTAAAGGCTAGGTACGCCAATAAGTAAGAAACGATTGACTACTTGAAGGACAACATTAGCCGCGTTATTGCCGATATACGGCGACAAATATTAGAAAAAGTGATCAAAAATTGGACCTCCAGATTAGACTTCGTCAGAGCCAGCCATGGCGGTCGTATACCATAAATCATATATAAATTATCATGCCAAGAGATTATCGTGTGAATAAAGTAAAATTTTAGGTCAATTTATAAAAATCATTTTTGTTATATTTCGTTTCAAAGTTCTATACCTCTAAAAAAACACCCTTTATAATAAAAATGTATCTTATCGAAAACGTTGCTATTATGTGTCTTCTTGTATTGTGGTAAATGGTTTAAACAGTTATTTGGTATTCTACTTAATCTACTTAACACAAAAAGTAAATAAAACTGAACATTGAAAGAATTGATAACGGTAAACAAATTTCTGCGAATATTCTTATATAGAACTTTGATTAAAAATTATTATATTGCGTATTATTTCAGGTCCACCACGTGATTGCCGAGTATCCCAATGGTCCCCTTGGAGCGCGTGCAGCAAGTCATGCGGCATAGGCGAAATGCAACGTCGCCGAGAGGTCACCAAACACGCCAGGAGGGGAGGAAGACTGTGCCCGCCATTGGTGGAGACGAAATGGTGTGGATCAGCAAGATCATGCAACAAACAGTACTTTAACTGGTAATTAAGATCTTTTTCGCCATGTTGAATGTGTCTTTTTGTGAATAAACACTTTGTGTTTCGCAACGATACCACGTTTTGGACTTTCAAGACTCTGGCTTTAGGCTTTCGGCTGGAGACGCGCGAGTTGGGTGGTTTTGGTAAACGGCGAAAATATGCGATCTTGAATACACATCAATATTATAAGTATTTTTAAAGATAATAATTAATGATAAGAAGGACAATCGACTGTTTGCTGAACGAATCTAATTCGCTTTTTTGTTACCAGTTTCCAGACAAAATTCTTTTGTACTAAAATCAAACTTATTGATAAAAAAATCAGTAAATATTTTACACAAAATATCCCTATCCTGCTTTTTATACTTAGTATATAACGTATAGAATTTTTAACGCTATCTATTTATAATAAGAACAATTAACTCATTTTTAATATAATATATTAACTTTATTTTTTGTCTAACGTTATCTCCATACGTAGGTTTGTGATCGAATTATCTGTTGACGTATGATCTACCAATCTCTAAGCGATTTGTTCCATCTATTTATGTAGATCTTTTAGCCATGAAATTTGCCATCAAATGATAGACCCCGGTTGTCGGGTTAAGTATCCCACAAAACATGTATTTTGTAATTAGACAAAAATGATGAACTTTATTATTATTTATCTTCTTTACCATTTGCATGAGGATTTTTACAATAATTTTACGTTTAGTCCACAAAAAAAGGGTATTCAGCTATAATAATACAATACCATCTTTTCTATTACGTTGTCGATGGTCTAGGTCTCACCTCCGTATTCAAAACAGAAAACATAATGACAAAGTAGTCGAGTTTGAGTACTTGAAACCTACAACCACTAATGTTAATCTTTTTATACTTCAATTTTTATATCACCTGTAACAAAAAAGTTTAAATGAAATTGGCAACTTAAAAGAACATTAAAGGAACTTTATCGATGACTAGACTAGGCTTTATGCATAATGTACATGTGTGTGCGTTTTTAGAATCCTATCAAAACTAATGTAAGCCAATATTTAATTTAATAAAACTTGATGCAGTTATTTTACTATATCTCGCTTTAGGCAGAATTTAATTTATTTTGCGATAACATTTAAATATTTTAATTAAAATAGTTATAAAAACTTTTAAACGTGCCATGTTCCAGCAAAAAAAGCGAACTAGGGGACATTTTGTGTAAATTATTATTGTTTATAGTTTCTAAAAAATATAGAAAAGGATAAAATTACTTTTTAATCAATTTTTATAAATTTTAAATATGAAGGTTGAACACACAGTGTATAGACATTCAATTATAAAAAAGCTTATGTTCATTACAGTCGTAAGGCATTATTGTCTTCTTTTTTCATTGTTTGTGTTTAACCTTTTAACATCTGTAAATTTTAGTGCCCTTTTTCTTTATTTGTCATCTACGCAACGGAGGTTGGCAATCATTTCGGCTTTTTTGATCTTAGATGCGGCTGCTCTATATAATTCGATTGATATGCGTCCATATCATTCCCCTAAGTTACGCAGCCATGAGATCCTTCTCTTGTCCTGGATCTTCCCTTGTATAATTAGTTAAAGTACGTTGTATCTCTCACCACGCATGGCATTTTACAGGTATTGCATCTTTTGTATTTAAATGGTTTCCAATATTTCCAGTCTTTTGTTAAATCTTCTCATGATTTTGTTGATTGTTACATGCTCGGTACATGATGACTTTAGGATTCTTCTATATATCCACAATTCAAATGCTTCTCAATGGTTGCCGCATTAAGGGTCCACGCTTTTCATTTTATAGAGCAGAGTCAAGAAAATATAGCACCTTACTAGCGTAACTCTTAAGTCTAATTTCAGGTCTCTCGTGTATAGTAGCTTTCTCATTTTATTATTCAAATTTGTTTATACTCGTTCTATTCAACTTTGGTTTCTTTGCAATAATCATTTGTGTGATTAATTATTGTGTCAAGATAGTTGTAGTTTTTTACTTGTTTAAGGCTTTCGTCATTGTTTTGGGTTTTTAATAACCTCATAAATTTAGAGTTCTTGATGTTTATTGAGAGTCCATATTATCGTCCTCCTCTAGAGGTTGTCCATCATTATGACAGTTTCCATTAACCTTTATTTCAGCTGTTTTTTTTATAATTTCTTTAGAGTATACGTTGAACAGTAGTTACAGTAATACACATCCCTGTCGTACCCCCTCTTTTAATTTCGAACTCTCTAAATTGTATTTATTATTGCGTATATATGCCCGCTCCTTATATTATTATCATCATTCGCAGTTTTCAGTTCACTGTTAAACATAGGCCTCCCGTAAATAATTAATTTGCATTCGATGTTGAGCACCTTTAATCCAGCTATGCTGGATGGATAATCATCGTGTCTAGGTCTCCATTTTAAAATTTTCTTTGTCCATCTTAGTTCTATTTTATCGTTGTAATTATCTTAACTGCATCCATAATACCAGTCTTTCTCCTATCTGTTTGATTTGAAACTCTGTCTCTGGGGGATATATTCAACACTGACCTGTCCATTGCTCTCTGTGTTACTTGTATCTTATTGATTACTTTTCTGGTAGCTGTTAATGTTTCTGCTCCAGACGTTAGAACTTGAAGTACACATTGATTAATGACATTTTTTTAAAGCACATGGGAATATCTGATCTAAAGAATTTCCTTCTTCTTCAGTGCCTTATCCGGTTCGGATGTTGGCGATCATCAAGGCTATCATGGTTTTGTTGACTGCTCTGCGCAACAGCTTCGCTGAGGTCATCTCAAACCATTGTCGAGTTTTCAACCACGAGACCCACTTTACCCTGCATAACGAGTTGAATAATTCGACATTTTTCTTCGTTCCGCATCACGTAGCCGAGAATTTCCTTATTTTTATGTAAACTGCTCATGTTAGTCTTATTCTCCTGCTTGACAATGCTGTTTGATTGACTTAAATATTTTTCCACTTATTGTTTCTCATAGCACTCTGTCTGTAATAAAGCGGTTAATACTTTACGAGAGATAATGTCATCTTGCCTAATACCCTTGCTTTCTAAAAATCTGCATATTGGTGACTTGTTGTAGTCTTTACCTTTCCTATCAAGGATTTCATTACTTGTAGGTGGTCATTCAATCCAAACCCACTCTTAAATCCGACTTAGTAGGTAACAAGGTGATAGGTCTGTAGTTGCCAATTTCTATTACATCTCCTTTTTTATGCAATAGTACCGTAAAGCCATAATTCCATTTTTCTGGTGTAATTCACTCAATGAGAAAGGCATTATAAAGAGTTTTTTTAAATTTTTATGGCATTCGCCATCTAGTTTTATTATTTCACTTACAATGCCATCTATTCGAGACTTGTTGTTGTTCTTTAAACCTTTTATTATGTTTTGTTTTTTAACGCTAATTTAATTTCCTCTTTGGTTGAGAATACTGCGATGCGATGCTAAATGTTCTCTGGTCTTTTTTTATGATGTTGAATCGTCTTTCATGAACGAAGATAGATGCGGAAGTTTGGAAGCATTTGAGATATGACTATATCTGGGAATATTTAAGAACGCGTGGACTGATCTCATAAACGAGGGGGTCATAAAAAGATTTTAAAAAAATAGAAAGGTACTGACCGACACCAACTCTTAAAAGCAGCAGTACAACATTTTTCATTTCTCTAATGCTCTAATTATTTAAGATTTCTGGTTAAATCTCATATCTCCTACTTTTTGTTGATGTATTCTCACAAACATTAAATTTTTTTATCTTTATTTTATTGCTTTAAGTACTCACAGACATTTAGGCATTTGGATGCAATCGAAGAAGAAAATAGGGGAAAATTGGAGTAAAGAAAAAAAGTAAATAAAAACCTTTTTCTTTATGTTCTGTAACAAACATTTGTAAATACTATGGTTGCCTGTTATGGTAAACTGTATTAATTGAACGTATTCTTTCAATTCAGTCAGTAAGAATTTTTTAATATATCATTTTCAAAGCTGCAGATCTCTTGATTTTATTGACAAATTTTAATTTACAGAACTAAACTGTGTATTCAATCTTATATTAAAAAAACATCTAGAATCTGTAAAGCATGTCTATTATTATGTACTAATTTTAACTGCCATATAATATATACTTCAAAAAAGTTAGCATTTTTATATATTCAATGTAGAGAGTAAGTGATTAATGTATCACTATACAAAATATTTTTAATGGTAACTTATGATCAAAATTCTACTGATTTAATGGAAATGCGCATAGAAAAATAGTTACTTCTAATTTGAAGGATTTGTGAGAAGGTGAGAGTTGGATTTAACACCGTAAGAGGATATCAAATTTCGGCTAACATATGCAAACCTTATTTTTTCTCATTTATCTGACCACTTATGCAAATAAGTGGTTGTTTACAACATTCATGTTTTTCGGTTCAATTCTGAAACTTGTGCACATCTTTTGAAGCACCGCTATAGATTCTTCTATTAATCACTTCACAAAGGTGCCATTTTTCCTCCAAAGTACAGACCTTTAAATGAAAGTCGTTTTGGAGCGAACTGAGGTAACTATTTGATAAAGAACACCAGCCCAGACATAACGGTGGTCTAAGTTAATGTTTAATCAAAAGTCTACGGGATCGAGATATTGCTGTTTAGTCCAGTCATCAACGAGTTGACCCCCAAAAATCATACAAACAAGCTGAATTTACTTTAACCCCCGATGTTCTCCCTAAAACCTTCCACGTAAGGTGGCAAAAACGCAAAAAATCGAATTACCAAGAACCCGTACGCCGAAGAAAAAAATGTTTGAAAAAAATGTAGTCGAGTTGATTTTAAACAAAAATGGTTATTAGCACTTTTTTGTAGAATAAACCGTTCTCTCAGAAACAACGCTTGATGCGACCGTCGATTGTAAATGTCAGTTACGTGCGCTTAATCAATATTCAATAAAATTTGTATCAACTAGACGGTAAGAATTCGATATCTTTTGATTCAAGAGCCGTATCGACAAATATCAAGAT